CATTAATTTGAAAATATGGTGCATTCATGTATTGTGTACAAGAGAGTGTATCATTTAAATCCAAATTTAACTTTTCACCAGTAAATACAAATAACTAGGGTTAGGTATATTACTATATCCTATTCTCTGTAGATCAGAGGCGTACCTAGACATAAAAAATAGCAGATCTCTAAATTATATTTTTAGGTTTATTTTTTAAATCATATATTTATTATGTTTTTTAAATTATATAATTATTAATTAAATTATTTGTAGGAAAAAGATACATGGTACATACTAATTACCAATAAGTTAATAACAATTTCTGTTTCCCTTTTAAGAAAGGGTATTGAATGTTAAAAATTAAATTTAAGTTCTATAAACCGCCTGTAATTTATAAACAACATCTATTTTCGAAAAACCGTACTTTCTTATAAGAATAAATCTAATCTAGGTACCTACGTGGGTTTGACAAACCATTACCTACCTTTTGTGAAAATTTTATTGGGGTGTACCAAAAATGTTTGCGGCTTTACTTTTTTTGTTGCCGTTACAATTTTATACGGCTTTTGTTTTAAATTTTGGTTGTAAATGGACATCTTTTGACATACATATAATTAATGTTCTTATTACATGAATTTTATGACTTTCTTACATTTTACTGTATTGAAATTCTTTGCACATGCACTTTTTATTATTTATAAACAATATGAATTTTCCTTTGCAAACAAGAGAAAAAAAACGAAATATTTTTTTAAACTAAGAACCGTTTACTAAACAATTACCATTTTATTTTATTTATGATTTTGTAAAATTATCGCTAGACTTTTCTGATAACTGTGTATTATAATATCAAATAATTTTGTTTAGATATACACATACCGTATGATCGAATAAAAACGGCGTCCAGTTGGCTTGGAAATGACGATCGATGGCATTTCCTATTTAAATTTACATATAAAATGATAGCGATCTTCATTTCATAGCCATCGCTGACGCCGTTTTTATTCGATCATACGGTATAATATACATCTTATATTTTCAGTCCTGATTTACTGTGTTTAAAACATCCCTAAAATGAAAGTTAAGGTAAATAAATGTTGAATTTTCTTACTTCTTATTCCCTCATTAATGAACAATTGTGAACTAATAAAAAGTATAAGGCACATTTTAAATTTTATTCACTGTTTTTTTATTGTAGTTGTAAAATTCATATAGGTATATAATAATAAAGTTTGTATTATTTTATATACAAAATATTGTGTTATTAGGTTAAAATTACTATTTTATTTTGTTATTGCTAATAGAGGGAATCTCATTCGCCGGAGACGAACAAGGTTTGGAACAAGATATTGAAACTGCATTTACTAATACACCTAAAATTTGCACTCGTTGATTTTCGCAAACCAATGTGTGATGAAGCTTTAGAGCGTTTTATGAATGGATCATTGTATCTCCCGAGTTTAAATACCTTTGATATTAACACACTCGAATATTGATGTTTTATTTTTTTAATTTTCTTAAAATACTGTCGGTCAATCTGCACGCCACTGGAAATTAACGACCTCAACCGTCTAATCTTTGTAAACAACTACATTGTTGCCGCAGCGCCGATACCCTATTCCCTTCTTTGTCCATTCTCTTTCGCACTCGTTGATGTTCGCAAAGTAATGTGTGATGAAGCTTTAGAGCGTTTTATGAATGGATCGTTGTATCTCCCGAGTTTAAATATCTTTGGTTAGGACTTTACGCTGCTATGACGTTGGAGCCGTAGTAAGGCAGGTTCGAATCCTAGTCAAGGCGACTTTTTTTTAATCGTTTTTTTTAATTTTTACATACTTTTACATATTTATTTTTACTTTTTACATATTTATTATTGATTAATACAATTTTTAGTAATGTGTTTTTGCATTTTTTTTTAAATTACTTATACGCGCATTCAAAATTTCAGCTAAATCGGAAAACAAGTTTATAATAATATAGTGACTAATGTTGTATAGATAATGAATGGTACAGAACTGTTGGTGCGCGAGTCCGACACGCACTTGACCATTTTTTTATGAAACTACAGATTTGTCCTAGCCTTAAAGTTCCTGAAATACAGGGCGACATTAAAAATGTTGCATCTTTCCACCTCCTTCTATCTCGATTATCTTATAACTTATTGAAAATTTAAAAACTGAGCCCCATAGAGTTTTTCACGTAGAAATCAGTAGCGTAACTAAATTTTTTCTGGGAGCTGTCATTCTTGAAATATTACCCAAATTTATATTTTTTTGGAATACCCTGTATATTATTTTTTTACATTTTAATTTTTTACGAGATATATTCTACTTCTTCACCAGAAACCATAGACTTAAAATAAAATATAGACTACACTATTTACATCTCAACGCGGACAAACAACCTTTTTTGTACACATGTTTACTTCTGGGTACAGTCGACCGAGCCTTCCTCATCCAGCCTATGTTGTCACGTCTTTAATATTATCAATATTTTTTTTCTTGATATACACATATATTGAGATATTAATACTACAGTTTAATAAAGTAGGTTTTAATATTCCATAGATGTATTAAATAGTTCTTATACTACTAAACTATAAGTCGGATACTGTTTAATAAGGATAAGTTCTTTACAATATGACAACACCGATTAGAGGCGAGGGAGCCTATTCATTCATTTATTACCTTGTAGTACGTGTCGCACGTGTGCGGTAAAGCTTTGTTGCCGCTATCTCCCCGGCTGTATTAACGCATTTTCTTAGCTTGTAGTCCTTAAGTGTTTATTTTATTGACTTTTTCTGTTCAAAAACTATAAAATATTGTTCGCCAGTGCCAAATTTGCAAGAAATTTGACTTAAATAATCCATTTAAGTCTTGAAACGACTTTTGACCGGTAGGCAACTCTCAATTTACCCATTGGCAGTCAGTGGCGTTGTTGTAGAAAGGCACTTATTTAGATAATATTTTAGTAAAATGTAAAATCTGAATTTTTTCTTTTACATTACATTATTTACTTACTTACATTGTAACAAAATCATAATTATAACCCTGTTAATAATTAATAATGTTTTTATTAAAAATATATTCCGGTTTATTCTAAAATTATCTTCAGAATCTAAAATAACGTACAAGAATTTTAAAATGATATTACATTATGAAACAAAATTTTTTTAATATACCGGGTCGTCTCAAAAGTGGCTCAACCCTATAACTTTTTTTATTTTTTCAGATAAAAAAACAGATTTGTATGTTAGTAGGTATATAACATAAATTAGGATTTATTGACGTATTCAATTGTTTTTGGTCTCTTCCTGTTTCACCGAAATGATTACATCTTTTGATTTTTAAAGGCACCCTCGGTATATTGCTACTTTATTCGATAAAAAATGACACTCTGAATAGAATGACATATCATATGTCAACTTTTGACATTGTCGCTTAAAAACATATCCTATTTTAAATTTCAATCCAGTTTTTTTCAATCCACTAAGTTTTAATCAAGGAGCCTTGGAAAAATAGTTTTGATCGTCTAATAGGTTTCATGTCTTGTCTAGGCCGGTTAAAAGATGTACAAATCGTATTTTTAATCATACATATATCAATTTTTTTAAATGGAACAAGGGTGACTCATTAGCATATTTGGAAAAAGCATTTTTTTATGAATATATTGATACCACACACTTGGTATTTCGAGTCAAATTGTCGTTATGAACCGCGTGTTACAATTACAATTAAACCATATGCGAAAATGTCAAAAGTTGACATATGATATGTCATTCTATTCAGAGTGTCATTTTCTATCGAATAAAGTAGAAATATACCGAGGGTGCCGTTTAAAAATTAAAAGTTATAGTAATTTCCGGTGAAACAGGAAGTGACCAAAAACAATTGAATGCGTCAATCAATCCTAATTTATTTCATATACTAACATACTAAATCTTGTTTTTTTATTTGAAAATATAAAAAAATTATGGGGGATGAGCCACTTTTGAGACGCACCCGGTATAATAAAGACAGTACCGAGTTAAATAAATGTAGTTTTTATTTTATCCACTTCCTATCACCTTCCTTGCTTTAATGGAACAGTTTCTCTAATTTACATAATAACACATCACTTAACCAGAAAAAAAATTACAACAATCATATTTTTTTTTCTCTCCCTGTCGCCGTTTCTATTATATCTGTGGAATAGATCCTGTTTTGATTAATATTAGGGGTTGTAAATGTTTGACTAAAATTAATAATTTATTATTAATTTCAAAAATTACCTAATTTCGATTATAAAATTTCTTCTATAACGTATATTTTATTATTTTTATCCTTTTTGGACTCTAATGGTTTTTCTAAACTTTTATTTAAAAAACCTGTCCTAAATCTTAATAAAATATAAAAAAGTTTAAATACGATATATTTTTAATTTAATTATAGCTTCATTAAAATAAAAAAAAATTACCCGGCTATGATACGGAGAGTTCAGGTGTACTTGAGAAACGAAAGAGAGTGTTGTGTTTCTCGGCAGAGTCGTCAGGGAACGACCGTTACGACAGAGACAACCTATCTATCGCTCGTGTCGCACTCGTTATAACCTAAAACAATAACACAACAATAACAAGACAGTGTCTGACCGCATGTTCCAGCTATTTATGAATGAGATGCTCAGTCTATATTTTATTTTAAGTCTATGCCAGAAACCAACAACCCTAGGCATGTTATACTACAATTTAAAAAAAATCACATCAATTTTTAAAAATTAATCATCTCCTGAACTGTTAGCTTATTTTTTAACACCCTGTATGGAAAATCTTCAAGAAGTGGTGTGAATAACCCCTTCAACTTACAATGAGGTTATCCTGCCGCTTTTATTAAATTTTTTCTTGTCTTTATGACACCACGGCTTCGTAATAGAGTAATATTAAAAATTCTGTCTGGGTATCATGGAAGGGAATAAATAATAAAATTTGCTTTGAGGAATAAAAATGAATACTTATAGAAAATTCAATAAAAAAATTCACTTACTGTCGTCACTTTGAGGAGCTGACAAAATGGCGCTGTGTTTTTTCTTGACTTCCTCCACATTCGCCTGAATCTTATCTATCATTTCCCGTATCTCTTCCACCTTGAAAAAGAACAATCATATTAGAAAAAAAGTGATTTAAAATCTACAGGGTGGGTCAGTTTACAGGGGCATCATTTTAAGTGACTCGCTCAATTGACTGAAGATAGTAACAGGATTTTGCAATGTAATTTTACGCGAGGATGCTGATTTTCTACTACACTAACGTCTACGTCCCACTAGTCTACTCGGGCACCCAACAATGTACAGGGTGGGTCAAATTCGACGCTTTTAAACGGAAACACCCTTTTCTATAGGAGATAGACCAAAACTAATATCGGTGTCTGGAGCTCAATTCTTGTCAAAAACATGATGGTGAAAACCGCATATCGATATCTGTTACCGTTTCGGAGTTACGGGGTGTTTTTCAAAAATGTGCATTTTTAACAAATCGCTGTAACTTTTATGCTATGGAAAATTTTGTATTTCTATGAAAACATTTCCAAAGCACCTTTTTACGTAGAATTTAATGGTTTAAGTATACTTTTTTTAAAATTAATAATTTAAGAATTATCAACAGAAAATTTGATTTTTTATAGTGATGGGTTGTTATTTAACTATCTGTTATTTTATAACAATTATTTATAAATAACATAACGCAACCGTTACTACTTCTAAAAAATAACAGATATAAAATAACGACACGTAGAGATCGGCCGCTCGTGAAACGAAAAACGAAGTCGGCGCTCTGCATCACCACGAAATTCTATGCTGCTCGAAGCAATTCCAAAAAACAACTAGTATGGATGGAAAACATGTTATTTCGTCAACCATCGATACAGGCGGCAAGACAACGGACAACGGAGTGGGGAAAGCGCTACGGCGAACGTAGCTGCTTCGGTCGTTACCGTCGATGGTCGTATTTACAACAGCTTAAAAAATAATAGAATATAAAACAAGCAGGTTTTTTGAAACAGTTGCGGGCATAACGCTTGGCGGTGGAGATAACAGGTGTGGGAAAGGAACGCTGCTGCATCGGTCGATTGTCGATGGAGGCTCGCAACGGGTTGGAGAAGCAGTCATTTTAGATATGTTGTTTTTCAACCTGTTACGAGCATAACAGGGCGGTGGTCGAGATAATCGGTGTGGGAAAGGAACGCTGCTGCATCGGTCGATTGTCGATGGAGGTTCGAAACAGGTTGGGGAATAACGCATCAGTTGTTTTAGATACATTCTGTTTCAACCTGTTACGAGCATAACGGACGGAGGTCGAGATATTATGGCGCTGTATGTTTCAGTACTTACTTATTAAGTTTCAATATTTAGGTATTTATTTATTCTGAAAAATTTTCAGAATATTTTAAGATTTTTAAAAATGTATACAGGGTGTTTTGAAAAATCTGGTCATTGATTAATCACGATCCTGCTTAAAGCCCTTGACGTAAAAAAGCTGATTTTTGGAAAACGGATTGACTTTAGTGTGTAGAGGTTCGATAAGAAGGGATTTTTCGAAACTCGAATTCTAAGGGGTGAAACTACTCTCAAATATTAGAATTTGTTTGTTTTTTATATCGCAATTTGTAAACAGCCCTTATTTGTAAACAACGAACGTTTTTAGAGAGGTATTTTAGATAATAATCGATATTTAGAAATGTTTTGACACCCTGGAAATACTACCACCGAGCACGTCATTGTTGCAACTTGCAACTGCGTTAATACGCCTGGCGGTGACCGTCTCATACTCTTTCAGATATTTAGCAGTAAAATAAAGAAACCTGTTATTTTTAAGCTGTTATTTTAAGCTGTTTTTTATAAATAACTATAACAGTTTCAAGTGTCTATCTAAAAATAACAGTTTTGCCCATCACTAATTTTTTATATGGGACACTCTGCATATTTTTAATTTATTGAAAAGAATTTAAAATTACCTTTCCAAAAATGTAACACACTTGATATTTTGCTCGATTCATCTTCGAGATATAGAGTATATAAAAATTCGCCCCCTTTAAATAAGTAGAATTTGAACGGCACCGGCTGTAATGCAAAAAAATCTAGCTGTGAGCATCAGTTAAAACGAAAATAATATTTGCTATGAGAGATGCAGAATTTTATAACAATTTAAAATATATTTAACCAATATCAGCACATTTAAACTATATTTAATAACAATAAAAATAAATAGCAAACCAAGGCATGAGATTTTGCTTCAGGTGTTCGACATATCCACCGTCTTCTGTTATGGACAGACGGGACAGTTTTTGAACATTTCTCGCGGAATTCATTAACTCAGTGAGGGTGAAAGATACCCTCTCATAACTTCTAAGTATTTTTAATTCTTGTCTAAATTATACGGAAGAATAAGGAACCTTTATTCTTCCGCAAATATATCCATAGGATTAGATCCATGTGCACTAAGTCAGGCGGCCTCGACGGCCAACGGCTGGGATCTTGGTTAGCTATCCAATTATTCTTGAAATTTGCTGCAAAAATTTGCTGATAACTTCAGCGTTCAGAGGCGGTGCGTCGTCTTGCTGGAAAAATATGTTTTCGAGTTCCATTAAGGGATCATCAATAAGGGGTCCAAAGCCTACTAGTTAAAAGTGACGAACTTTTAAAAATCTTGTATTTCGAAGGGGATTATAACCAAATATCAAGTGTGCTATATTTTTGGAAAGGTAATTTTAAGTTCTTTTCAGTTAATTAAAAATATAGAGGGTGTCCCAAATAAAAAATCAATTGTTCTGTTGATAACTCTTAAATTATTAATTTTAAAAAAATTATACTTAAACCATTAAATTCTACGTAAAAAGGTGCTTTGGAAATATTTTCATAAAAATACAAAATTTTCCATAGCAAAAAAGTTACAGCGATTTGTTAAAAATGCACATTTTTGAAAAACACCCCGTAACTCCGAAACGGTAACAGATATTGATGTGCGGTTTTCACCATCATGTTTTTGATGAAAATTGAGCTCCAGACACCGATATTAGTTTTCGTCTATCTCCTATAGAAAAGGGTGTTTCCATTTAAAAGCGTCGAATTTGACCCACCCTGTACAATGCCAGATTTTTTTTTGAAATTCAAATTTGGCAAATACGACGCCATCTTGATTTTTTTTAAATGGAAACCCCCACATATTTTAGCATTATCTGGTAGATAATTTTTAGGTAATTTGAAAAACACCATAAAATCGAAAAAACGGCGTCAAAAACGGCTGGGGAATAACGATCGATGATAATTTTAGCGAGGTCAAGCCCTAGACGTCATTTACTTAGCCTGTACTCTTCTTTATTTGTTAATGGCGCTTACTGCCAGTTGGCCCTAAGAAGGTTGCAATTTATATTGAGCAAAAATTATTTTAAATTGTCTAGAGAGATTAAAATTTAAAAAAAATATGTTTTAGAAATACCGTATCATTGAAGAAAAAAACGGCGTCAGCGATGACTATGAAATGGAGTCGCTGTCATGTTATATTTAAATTTATAAGGGAAATGTCATCGATCGTTATTTCCCAGCCAACTTGACGCCGTTTTTTAGATTTGTGTGTCTGGTAACGTTTTATCCTTTTTTAATCTTTATATTTTATAATCAGTCGTAACTTTTGACAACTTTTATGTCAATTTTTAGCAAATGTTTACAGATTGACCTCGCCAAAATTGTCATAATTTCTCATTCCCCAACCGTTTTTTTTTTGGATCTTACTGTATATGTAGGTATATTCAAAAACATCTCAGATTTTTACAAATAAAAAATATTTAAAATTTTACAACTAGGTACCTACCTACCGTCATTTAAATTTATCATATAATTACTTAGGTAACAGTACTATTAAAAAAAAATAATTAAAATAATAGTTCTCCAAAACTTTGCCTTATCAGGATCAAATTTAAAGCTCTGTTAGGTATGTAATTTATTTAGAAAAAAAAATAGTTTTTTTTGACACCTGTAATTGTTATTATGCATACCTAGGTATTAGAAAATAAAGATGAGTCATGAAACACTCATTGGACCCAATCTAATCATCTGTAGGTGTTCCCAGCTGTTATAAAAAGATTTACTTTCTCAAACTCCATAAAAGACTGTTCAAAAATGTTTTCAAATCTTAAAAGACATTTTTTTTATTTGTAAAATACTTATAGATGAATTGCACCAATGCAAATGTCAAAAAATGTATTTTTAATTAATAAAAATCATTTGTTAACGACCATGGCTAATATGACTGTTTAAAAAATTATATTTTTAATTCAAAACTCCTTTATCATATATAAAAAATTTGATTTTTACCGGCACAAATGTCAAAAGAATATTTTTATTTTTAGCCAAGCCAACAAGGATCATTTGTTCACGACCATGGCTAATGTGATTTACTTGGCGTGGCAAGATTAATCAAAACCAGTAGGGAATAAATTAAAATTAATAAACAAAAATAAATTACTTACCTCTCCAAAGAAAGCATCCATAAATCCATCTCGTCCTTCCACATTGACAGCGACATCATCGGGGCCCACATCGTCATCGTCACTCTGGGCCTGGAAAACACAGAAAAATAGGAAAATGTGAGTCACCGGGTGACAAAAAAGAAAACAGGGAAAAACTAGCTGGGAAAATCGTAGGGGTGGGGCCTGTTACAGGCTAGATTAAGCAATTTTTCCCATAACCTATTCGACTTCTCTTTCGAAATTTAGCAACAGTTGAAACGGATCGACAAATCAACTACTCAACCGAATAGAATCAAATTATCACGAGAATATGTGTTCTAGATTCTGTTTTTGGTTATGCCAATCTAATTTTAATTCAAATAAAAACTCTCCGTGTCCTGATGAATGAAGTAGGAACATAGATAATTCATAGGACAGAAAAAAAATTGGTGTAGCAGGTACGTACCGCTACGAGAGCTGCTAATCTATCCTTGGTCATTGTGATCCTATTTTATTCACACACCACTAAACGATAGTTTCGCAGAATAATCCCATTCAACTGGATTTACACTCACGGCACGGAAAACGAGAACTATTCCCGACAAAATCCGCCAACTTTGAACGAGAAGATTGCCAAAGAAAATCGATAGAGTTCTGCAGTGCTGACGGCGATCCGCGCACGCGCCAACTACGTCAGGATTCCCGTGACGTCACGAGTCTATTTTTTACTATTTTTTGCTAATTTCTCCTAAAATAATAAGCCAAAATCAAAAAATATATTCCTAAACTACTAATACGAATTTATTTTTATTATAAAAACTTAAAAATTTCGCAAATCTAGTCAAAATACTTTAAGTTATTATAACCGACCAGCAGACATTATTCAATTGCCGCGGACGCCATTGTGATCCCTAACGACTTCAGAACATCGGCAAAGTATTTCGCAAATTTTTGTGCCATCGGAGCTTTTTAGGCGTTTCTTTTGAACAAGTAAGTTTTTTTAGCTCTACCTTATCTGTAGTACCGGGTATTTTTTCGTTTCCGTGGTTATTTTTCGAGATATTTGCTGTTAAAGTCGGTCCTTGAATGTCAAATTCCTATGAGACGTTTTTACCGCCATACCGAGAACTTCAAAATTAAATTCACTTCTCTGGTTTGTGTTTAGCGGCTATTGTTTTAGCTTGTTTTCTTCTGTCGATGTTATTTCCGGTATAAACGGTCTCATTTACCGATAACAAGTTAAAGTTAAAATAGAGACTTCCAGAGTAGTACATGATTGTTGACATTTACCTTGTTTTCAGATAGAACAAAAAGCCCAACAAAACTATGGCAGCAGAACAAGAAATGCCCACATTTAAATGTGTTTTGGTAGGAGACGGTGGTACAGGGAAGACTACGTTTGTGAAAAGGCACTTGACTGGTGAATTCGAGAAAAAATATGTAGCAACTTTGGGAGTCGAAGTCCATCCATTGGTTTTCCATACGAACAGGGGGCCTATTAGATTTAATGTATGGGATACAGCGGGTCAAGAGAAATTCGGAGGTCTCCGTGACGGATACTACATCCAGGGACAGTGTGCTATTGTTATGTTCGATGTTACATCTCGTGTAACCTACAAGAATGTACCGAATTGGCATAGAGATTTAGTTAGAGTTTGTGAAAACATTCCTATCGTATTGTGTGGAAACAAAGTAGATATTAAGGATAGAAAAGTCAAAGCCAAGAGCATTGTATTTCACAGAAAGAAGAATTTACAGGTAAATAAGACTTTTTTGTTAAGTTTGGCATGTGTTTTAATGACAGGTGTGCATGTTTTCCCGCCATTTTTATGAAATAATTAAGAAAAACGGAATTATTGTAGTGAATCTATCGATGTTTAATATCTAAAAATAGCTCATTATAGTGTCAAACTAATTAGAGTGTCATGGTTTGTTCAGAGTAATATAAAAGCATAATGGAATTCATGTTCATGTTTATAAGCTTAATTAATATTTATTCATTAAACATAATAACAAAAATATGTGTATTTGCATATAGATTCTTATATTATTGTGTTTATATGTTTTTATATGTCTAATTGGTTGATATTTTTTTAGTATTATGATATTTCTGCCAAATCAAACTATAACTTCGAAAAACCTTTCCTATGGTTGGCAAGAAAACTGATTGGTGATCCTAATCTTGAATTCGTGGCCATGCCTGCTTTGGTGCCCCCAGAAATCCAGATGGATCCCCATTGGCAGCAACAAATCGAGAAGGATCTTAAAGATGCTCAGGACACTGCCTTGCCTGAAGACGATGAAGATCTATAAAATGGAGGAACCCCACAACAAAAATTATTGTTTACCCCTATTTTTATATGTGGAAATTTTTATAAAAGACTTAAATAATTTAAACAAGAAAGGATAATAATAATAATTATCTGTTAACATTGTCTTTAATTTTTTTTATTTAAAACTAATTGAAAATGTTCAAGTTTGAGTGTGATCTCTTGTTGAAGGTGTAAATAAGTTATGAAAATGATGTTTTTTGCCTTTTTTTTGTAATAATTCTGTGTATGGATGGAATATTATACATGATAACAATATTTCTTAGGTTTATATATGATATTGTAAGTGAAAACTGGAGATAAACTGGTATTTGTGCATTGCTCTAACAAAGTGCATTGTAGAATTAAATGTTTATGTAATAAAGATTTTTTGTCATTCTGTGTTTTTCATTGTTTAGTATGTTTTCTCTAGTAATTATCATAGTTTATTAATATTTTAGGAGCTTTTAAATCCTTGAAATAGTATAAAAATATATAATTTAGTAGTTTTCCGACTGTAAATTTTTAAATATTCAAATCAGGGACATCTATTATTGATATCGCTTAGTATATCATGCAAAAAATAATTATTGCAGTTTCCTATTAAACTACGACATTTCCAAATAAAGAAAACTGTAATTTAAAGGATTCTAAATTAGAGTTTTCTATAACAAAAATTAGCAGTTTTCTTTTTTTTACAGATTTTCTCAAAATCAATAATTCGTATTTGTGTAAATTCACGACAGATGTCACTGAAAGAAGTTTATTAAACGCAACCAGATATACACCGATTCTTCAATGAAGCTTCAATGGGCAATTTATCGAGCTGTCTTGCAGGAAGCTTTCCACGTTGCCATGTGTGGTCTCTTATTTTTCAGGTGATATTTTTATAAATATAATAACATAAAAATATTGCAAAATTATTTTTAATTTTTCCTGTGCTTATTTGAAGAGATATTTTAAAATAAATGTCATTTGATCATTGTCACTTTTCTATCTTTTTAAGATGGTACAATTAAATTTCAAATCGGACGTTTCGTTTCCCAGATGCAATGATCAACTTTATTCCTTTCATCATCATTGTTATCTATTTGGGCTCAAGTTATTCCTACTAATTTCCTAAAATCATCGTCCCAGCTCAGGTTGGGTCTTCTAGGTCTCTTAATTCGTCGTGTGTACCATGTAATTTTTCTGGCTCGGGCACGGTCCGGTGTACTGTGAATCATCCTTAACCGTTCCGTCCAATCGCAGGCAAATGGCAGGGGCTATGCAGTCGCGTCATTGATGACGCTCCTGGTCTTTTCTTTAGCTACGACCATTCTATAGTTTCAGTTCTGTCAAACCATTGGTAATATTTTTTTAACAATAAATATAGAAAGTCCTAAGGTTTCTAGCCATGTTTATGAAAAGATTTATCAAAATTCGGGTTATATTTAAACTTTTTAGTATTTATTATTAGGTACTATCAAGGGTACTATACAGTATGTCCTCAGATTTTTTTCACAAGAGGAAAGACTTTTTTAGTATTAACATTTTAAGAAAAATGCATTCTTCATAAAAATTTTTGCTTGTTCTAAAATGGTTAATCCCGTTTATACTTATCTAAATTAACATACAGTTTTAGAGCAAATTAAAACTATTATCACCCTTTCAGCATATAGCATTGAACTAAATAAAATTTGTGCTTCTTTAATACTTTAAAACATTAAAAAATATGGCGTTGGTTAAAGTTCTATGAATAACAATCTGTCAAAGAATGAAATCGAAACTATATTACTATAGAAACGCGTTTTGATTTTTAGGACTTTAGGAAAATTCAACTATATTTTTATGTTTTTTTTTTTTAATTTTCTCTAAAACGGTGTAGAAATTTGGAATAGTATAAACGGGATTAACCATTTTAACCAGAACAAGCAAAATGTTTTATGAAGAATGTATTTTTCTCAAAATATCAATAACAAAAAAGCTTTTTCTCTTGTAAAGGCAATCCGAGGACAAACTGTATAGTGTGTGACCTTACATATGCTGGGTCCAGATCAAGCAGACAAAACAACGACAAGACAGAAACATTCATGTTTTACGACAAAATTGCGACAAATCCAATACATTTTTGCGACATTTTTGTCTCATTTTTGTTTTGTTTCAAAATTCGGAGACTTTTCAATGTCCCGTCTCGAGTCGGTAAACATCAAAGTGTCTATGTTTTGTTCGTATATTTTACGACAAGTTGTCTGCGCAGTGTGGATGGCGTGTGCTGCCAACAGTAGGAGACCAGTGAAATCACACATGGTTAATAAAACTCATTTGCAACAATTAAACTTTTGATTTTGTTGTACTTTTGTCCTTGCGGTGTGGACAATTTGTCTCAAGTTTGTCTTGTCAGAATTCTCCATTTTTGTCGCAAGTTTGTCTTGATTTTGTCTCAAAGTCTTGTTTACTTTTTGGTGCCTTGGTCTGGACCTGGCATTATATTATGAAACACAGTGGTATAACATAATTTTATCGTATTTCTAAAACAATGTTTCTTAACGCTGTTTTTGCTATTAAAACCTAACAATCCTCTAGATTTTGAATTGGGAAATCATTGCTGATTAATATGAAAATGCGGCCGAAAAAAATGTCTTAAAACCTGGAAAAACTGGTCACATCGGCAACGCCATCCTGCCCGACTAGGCGTTGCATGTTGTTTTGGTCATAGGCGTGCGTCCGTAGCGGCTTCCCCAGTTTCCGACGGACAAATCGCAGACTCGAATCGGTTTTTCGGTGCGATATGTGCGGTCGTCACTAGGAAAAAACACTAAAATCGACACCTTGTCAGTGATTTACCGGTGTGTTTCAGCTAGTTTTTGGATATATTAATCATACCGCAGCGCTTTTTTTCGGGGTAAGTGAGGGTCCAGAGTGATACTGCGAGGAGGGAGAGATTTTCATCCCGAATTTACTACACTCAGCCACGCCAGGGCTAAATTGTTCCTGCTTTTCACGATGTTCCTGTCGATATTTTTGAGGATACTTTGGGTTCACTAAAACTAGTTGAAGCTTTAGATTAAAAATTTTGGGAAATTTTCACGAAGAAAATATATTTTTCTACCAATCAAAGCGTTTTTGTGTTTTTATCAAAATGACTCATAACTTTTTTTAATCATGCAGAAACATTTATAATTAATAGGAATCTAAATTATATCTATTATTTAGAAAACTAAATAAATATGTGATAGAAATTGAGCAATGAAAAAATATGTTTCATCTGCTATTGTATATTGTTGTTAAAAAACATTTTACTACAGGATGTGCTGTTAAAGCTTCATTCAAAAATTCTATGAATCTTAGGAAAATATTACAATTTTATAATCCAAAGAAGACTTTTTTAAAGTTTTTATCATAACAAAATCAGATATTCTCCTAAAATCGATTAAATAAGCCAAAAGCTCGTTTAAAAAATGACTCACACATTTCTAATCATATATTATGCATTATTTATATCAAAGTATTTATAATTAATTAGGGAGAAATCTGTGAACTATTTAGCAAACATATCAGTAGAAAAATTGAAGGCATGTTTAATACAATTAAAAAAATAGTTTGCAAAAATTTTGCGTGTTTTTTACGTAAATTTGAAATACAAGAAATATATTTTGATGTTAATGCTTGTAAATGATAAATACCTATAGCAAATTTAGGTTCAATCTTTTAATTTTTGAAATTCAAAAATTGTTTTGGAAAAGAATAAATATCAATCTACAGAATGTTTTTAAATTTTTATCGTAATAAAAAAAGGTTTGATCGTATTTTTGAATTAAAAATTTAGACTTTAAGAGAGGGATCACTTTGATTATTTGCGTATGTAAAAAGAATAGATAATTTTAGACCCTATCGTGTGAAATTTCATAGTGAAACACAAATTCACAAAAAAAACTTCAATCTAAGTAGGTACCTATTGTTATTTTCTAGGAAATTTTAACGCAAGCTCAGACAGATAACACTATGTATTATGTATACCCACCAGTGTCTTTATGGACTATTCTATTCTATTTTAGAGTACATACTATATTATTTAAATATCTTTAATATAGGAATAATATTTTTAGTAATAGTGTATTGTTTTATTAGGAGTAAAAATGAATTTATTTATAGATTCAGAAACAATGGGCGCCCTCGTTGATTTGGCACTACTCAATGTCAGTTTAACAAATATTGAACATTTAACAATTTTGTGAACGTTAGTGCTTATTATGTTACCATAGATAATCGCACCATGAATGTAAATATTGTGAATAAATAACATTAAGTTTTGAAATATTTATTCCTTCTTTTTTGAAAATATCTTATTTTTGTATTTTTGTAGTACAATAATTATTATTTATATTTAAAAATTTACGATCATTGACAATGTCTAAAAAATACAATTTAAGATTAATAGAATATCCTAGCTAGGATATATAAATTAGTGTTTTTTTTTGCTTATAGTAACAAAAATTACACTTTTGTATTGTTAATCACGTTACAATAATATAATTGATATAATTTTGTGACGTTTGAAAAAAATTAATTTCGAAGAATTTATTTAAAATCACACTACGAAAAGGTTTAAGTAAGACGGAGGATTTCTTAAATCAGAAATCAGCTCCTATTGGTCGTGTCGAATGGCAGCTGCCGCATGTTGGTCCATTTCGACCACCTGCCATAGATGGAACAGATTTTCTTATGAGAGGGATTTAAAAATATTAAATTGTGAAGGTAGGATACGTGCAGGTAGTTTTGCGACAGGCGAGGCGGGTACATTGGTGTGCGTATGAATATTCGTAAAGGGTCTTCTAATATAATTAAAGTGATAGAAATTGGGATTGTTTATAGAAATAACAGATCTCTAAATATTTATTTTTAGCTTTTACTTTTGTGATGTGTGACACGCCTTGTTTATGTTATACTCAATAGTCGAATTCGGGCAATGCCCGAAAAAAATACGCAAGTTTTATACACCCAGTTTTTTAGTTTCATACATGCTTTTCTTAAGTCCCGTTTTAATTAAGTTTTTTTATAAAAACAAAAACAGCACTGAACTGTCTGACTGAACAGAACAATGAAGTAAAAATTTAAGATTTAAGGTTATGGTTCAACACAGTTGCAAAAAGGTAGTGGCTCGACGTCCTACCAACGTATAAGGAAATCTAAACAACGTTGGAATTACTAAAACAGACGACGTTTGCATAACGTTGGAATAGGTTCTGAAAGTGACGTCGGAAAACTCTTTTTTGCCCAACATTGTAACTACGTTGTCCGAATCACCTAAAAATCACTTAAGCAAAAAAGGTTACAAGACAACGTTTATTCGACGTCGCAGAAGCTTTTACTTTTTTGTAGTACTAGTTCAACGTCGGCATAACGTTACAACAACATTTACATTTATTTTAATACCCAAGGTATGGAGCTAACTATTTTTTGTAACTAATCCAACGTTGTGTTTAGTAAACATGTGGTCGCAAGTCGTGAAAATGCTACTTGGGAACCCATAATATCCTGGTGAATCTCATAGTAATTTTTACCCACCAAATTTCATGTCACTTGGAAGTTTGAAAGAATGTTTCAAGCACTTGGAAAAAAAAAATTATAATAAATCGAAAAAAAAAATGAAGACTTTAACCTCCTCTAGCTACGAAACAAAGCAGAATCGGACCCATGTTGACATGAAGAATAAATCTTTTTTTTTACGCGAGGAATCTCCTCACGAGAAATGTCACATGTTTTTTGAAACACCCTGTATAACAGACTCTATTTTAATTCTCCCTACCTCTAGTTGGCACTTTGGCTGCTTTACTCTTAATGTTGTTGTTGTCGAGACTTCCACTACTCCATTCTTCTTCGTGAACTTTAATGAGTCTCTCTTCCTGTCTTTCCAGTGCCTCCAGTCTCTTCCTAATCTTATCCCTACTCTTCTGGATCTGCTGGTTCGATCTGTACACGCACGCCTCCTCATATCTTCTAGCTAGATAGTTTTTAATGGCTTTCGTTCCTTCCTGGACAATCTTTTTGTCTGGATAAACCAGCGGATTGTTGGCTATTTGGAGCGCCTTCAATGTGGGAACTAATCCTAGAATAAAATATTTTATTGAATTGAACACCCTCCAAATAACCACGCCAAATAACTAAACCAATCCAACCAAAAAGAGTGAAACCCAAGGTGAAACCTAAAAAAAAAATAATCGAATATTATTATTAATTTTTTTTTGGGTTTGGGAAATATTCCTTGCTCAAAACTAGATTTGCGTATTTTTCTCGGGCATTGCCTCAGTACTACAAAGAATAAATGTTACATGTCTCTCTATTTTTTTCCTTGTAATTCAGCACCAATAAATTGGGAGTTAGTATTTATAAAAGCAGCCATCATAAAAGCATCGACTTTTGGCAAGTTATCTGATTGTGCTTTTACAAACCCGGAATCTGCCATTATATTATTATAACAGTTTCTGGCGAAAAATAAAATATATGCATCTTCCTCATTGGGACTATGTCATCAGCGAATCTTAGATGGTTAAGATATTCTTCATCTATTTTCAATCTTTAGTTGGTCTAATCTAGAAATAAAAAAAAATAACAAATAAAAATAAAAAATATAATTTTACTTAAAATAACAACAATATAAAGCTTACATCCGTGTAAGAATGTATTATTTTTTTTATGGTTTTAAAAGTCAAAATTTAATTAATTCAACAATACCATCATAAATTCTGTTACCTGCCATAATCAACCTGTTAAATATTGCATAAAATACCCAAACCGATCACCGCAATTGATTGATTGATTTTCCTTTTAAATTGACATGATATTTAATCAAAACCATTTCTAAAAATAGCTACAAATATCCATTGAGTACTCGTTCTAATAGTGAATTCATTGTTTGAGATTTTTCCTAACTATATAGTAATGCCACTGTAATTAGAATGTCTGAACGCATCATTATCTTGTAAGTCGTTAAAATATTTATGACTTGTGTTAACCTTTGCGTAGCTGGTTATATTGACAATATTTGTTGTTCGTAAAATGTATTTATTAAAGATTATTACTAGATTAAGTGTTTTTTTTTAATTTTACATTTTTTTAAGTTAACATTATTAGATTAATTAATGAATCATTACTGTGGCACTATTAATATGTACTTGATCCTATCACATAGTTATAATTCGAGATAAAAACATAGTTTGTATCGTCAATTTGCTAACTTTTTGAATTTATCCCTCTAATAAGAGCTAATATATAAAACATCTGTTAGAATTGATGAGTCAACGCCTATTTTTACCCTCACTCAAAATTATGCCATATAAATGCTTTATATTACAAGACCAGCAAAGGATCCATAGGGGTGATCACGAGCACACCAACCCAGTAGGCTTTAAAAACACCAAAGTTATAGGATATATAGCATTTGTAAAATAGAGTAAAATTTGTTTTTTCCTTAGCAACTGTTAAAATTGCCTTATTCTATCAAAAATAGTAGATAAAATAGTACTTTACCCGCAAGGGTAGATTAAATGATACTTTAACAGCGAGGATAGGTTAAAAACTTTATTTCTTCTCGCACGTTTTTTAATTGCTTTCATTTTTGAAAATTTTTGTATTCCTTTTCATAAGTTATTCGGGATTTAAATGGAAGTAGTTTGAATATGGCGTTTGTCGCCTCAGCCTGAATATCTGTTGGTAATCTACTTATTTCGTTTTGAGCCATTCCTGGCTCCAATTCAATCAGCAATCGACACGAAAGAGAATTAAAAAAATATTGACTCAAAACTGACAACTAAAGAGACAGCCATACATAAAAGACTTATACTATTAAATAGATAGGCAACTTATAATACATTTCAATTTTATTATACAAGGGCGCCTCTGGTA